TTATGAAGATATCATTTTGGAACTTTTGTCAACAAAATGCAAGGGACCACTTTCATTTTCAGCATAGCTTAGCTCCACTGTATATTGTAAGCTCTCAAGTCAGACTTACTAGGTTTATAATCTAGCATATCCTAACTCCTCCATAATCTTAGATTTTTATTTAACTGCCCTATGCTCCTCTCTTCATAGTTTACAAATAATAACACTTACCACACTGAGTTATTTTAAAGAATAAATGAACTGATATAATTAACACATTCAGAACAATTAATAGCACGTTAATGGTATGAACTTAATAATATCAAAATTAGCTCACATCCAACATATAAAAATGCCTTCTTTTAAAGAATAACGGAGCTGGGCACAGTTGTATACGCCTGTAATCCCAGCACTTGGAGAGGCAGGAGGATCTCTGTGAGTTTGAGGCCAGCCTGGTCTACAACGTGAGTCCAGGACAACCAAGGCTACACAGAGAAACCCTGTCTTGAAAAACAAAACAAAACTAAATGCCAGAATACAGAGTATTCTTGGGATAACACTGTAAAAAGCAAATGAAAGGTAAAAGGCAGAGATGGCTCTCTGAGTGTGGACCGCCAAGGCCCACTTAAAAGTGGGAGAGTCTGTAACCCAAGAGCTCTGGGAAGGCAGAAACAGGACATCCTGATGCTCATGAAGAACCATCCCAGAAAATTAATGAGCTCCAGGTTAAGTGAGAGACCCAGTGACACAACATAAGATGAGTTGGCCAACGAGATGTTTCAGCTGGTCAAGGTGCTAAGGTGCTTGCCACAAAGCCTGTTGACCTGAGATCAATCGCTGCGTCCCATACGATGGGAAAGAGAGAACACTCCTGCAGGGTTTTCTCTGACTTCCTCATGGGTACCATGACATACACATGCATGAGACCCCCCGAAACCTCTTTCTTTGTCTCTCTATATATCTGTGTGTGAATAAATACATGTAACTATAAAATTAAAAATAGCAATACAGAGAGTGAGTAGAGGAAAACATCCTCTGGTCTCTGTATGCATGGACACTCAAATACACACACAAAGTGAAGAATAAGCACATATGACTTTTGCATGATCTATGTGACTTGGGGTAGACAAGAAGAGTTTCCATCTTTGTTCTCTTTAACAGTTAGGTTATGATAGCATCAGAATAGGCAGAAGGGAAATGATAGGGACAGTGCCACTCAGACATTCATTGCCTGTGGCAAGGACAATCAGAATTCATGACAAAGGTATAATCCATAAAGAGAGCACACACCTGAGCCTTTTTCCTTAAGAGGGCACCCCACACCACTACTGCTACTTCCTGAAAGGGTGAAATGTTTGGATTTAATTTTCATACATGTTGCTTGGGTCTGTACTCAAAATGTTTAAAAGCAAAACTAAATAGCAGTGGAGAAGTATATCAAATAGCCACTATCTCCCAAGAAAAAAATTTCTTTATAAAGCTCTATGTTGGCAATAACTTAAGATAGGTACTATATTGTGGGAAAGAAAACACAGATAGACAGACAGAAACAACACATACAAACACAGACACATGCACATACAAGTTTAAAAGTCATCTAGGAAAGAAGAGCAAAGTGACGCTTTCATCAACCATCAAGGCTGGTCTAGACCCATCTGACTGACCCTGTCAGTCCTGAGAGCCCCCAGGGAGAATCCCAGGGACCTGCTAGACTTCCTGAGACTTCAGGGCACTATCTGAAGAATAAGACTCATACATGGGTCACTCACAGAGAAAGAGAGTACATAAAAAATTCAGGTGCTTTCACTACATTTTTTTTTTTAGACAAGTCAAGGCAATGAATTTCCTCTTAAGAATTGAGGTGCATTTCTTGAGCAGAAAGTGTGTTGCAGGGCAGGAAGAGAAGATGCCACAGGACTACCCAAGCCAGGAGCACAACCTTTGAATCGGAAAAGAGATAAAAGGAAGTTGGGAGGGGAGGTCCCCTTTACCTTCAGCCTTTTGAGCAGGTTACATCTTTGAAACACAGAAACACAACATGGAGAAAAAGAAGAGGAAGCATTCTCAAGCAGCGTTAGGAAAATGCCAACAGCAATACAAAACAGAGAGAAGTGGGTGTGAGCATGTGTGTCAGAGGAGCCTAGGTCCCTAGAACTTAAATGTGTGCTATTGCTGTACCCCTCTGATTATCAGAGGGCTCAACTAGCCTTGCCTAAAGACATGATCCCTTCTGCACCGTATCTAGAGGAAATCACAGCTCCACCGGCATATTCTAAGAATAAAACAAATCACTATGACATGACTTGGCAGGTCACAAGGAACTTTAAACATCCTTCGTCTAAGTCGTAAAGTGTCAAAACCTACAATAATTATGGTGCCGGAGTCTGATCCGTATATTTTACCAGCAGGAACAAAACTTGTTCTCTAAAGGCATAAGCTTTGCTCAGGAAGGCAGAAGCAGAATGACACTGTGTCGGGGTTACTTTCTTCAGCAGAGCCTTGTCCCAAGCATATTCCTCACTGAGTGTATTTGAAGCAACCCATCCAAAATTTCCTCAGATTTCTACACGTTTTTATATAAGGTGTGGAAGAAAAGAAAAGTTAGAGGGACAGAAGATGGTACCACCATCATGGAAGTGGGTACGTGGCAAATACTGTCAGGAAAATGCTGATGATCTCACATTACTACACCACCAAAGCAAACAGTATAATTTTATACATCCTGTTGACCAAGTTACAGCATCTTGGATCAAATCCACAAGAGAAATCATTAATGGGCCATAGTTTATGTGTCAATGAGGGAATACTTGGCCAGCATATGCCTGGCATTGTGACCAATCCCAACTTTAAAAAAAAAAAAAAAGACTTCAGAAATACATAAACTATTTGCAAATACAGATATCACCTATAGAACCAAGCAGCCATACACAGCACAGCAAGACTACTAAACAAGGCTGCTATGCAGGTCCAGACCACTGCATCCTGGTTATAATGCCCCATACCTTGCTGAAATGATAGAACTTAATACAAACAAACATCTTTGATTTGAAATTTTCTATTGTGCCCACCTGTCCAAAACCGGGTGCAGGAGAATTCACTGGTGTGTGGCCTGCTTAATGCCCATCTCTTGAAGGATTTCCAAAAGCTGCTAAAGGTGAATGGAAACACGACAAGAGAAGCATTACTCAGATTTACTGCTCCATGTGTCTTGGGCATCTCTATGATCTGCGCAAGGCATTTGTTGTAAATAAGCCTGCCGGGTGTACAGTATGTTTTCCAGGAGACCTTTACAGAACAGCTTGCAGACAAGAGGTGCTAGCCTTGGTTTCACAGCCAGCAAAACTCCATCCAAGAGGCTGCTGGCATTCCCCACCCCTTGTTTTGAGCTGGCTTTAAGAGAACTCCACAAACCAAATTCCAAGGGTTAGTACCTGGAGTCAGTCACCAGGAGCTACCCAAGCTATGCCTGGGAAGTAGAAACTCAGACATTTCAGTCCTCATGTAGGAGAAAGAGAGTGGGAAAGGCACCCGCTCCCTCCTCCCCAACAGGATAAAAAACGTTCCGAGTTGACTTAGCAGCTAGGCAGTCTCCAGTCCTCCGTAGTAAATTAAATGGCTGGAGCCCATGCTTTTCCAGCGAGAGAAAGAAACATGCCTACACTGTAACAGTATGTGGAGATCACTGAAGCTCGTTTTTAAAGACTTCCCTATTTTTTTTAAAGCCTGCTCCATTAAAAAAAAAAAAAAAAAGTTCAGGAAATAAATTCAAATAGGCACAGAATAGGATCATACATCATACAGCTGAAAACCTCTATCCACCCTTTTAATTCTTTCCGTGCAGTATCACTGCTCTTAACAGCATTAGCTTCTATAAAGACGAGGTTGTAACGGTTCTTTGAGACCGGTGTCAACCCTTCCAAAGGCCTCACAGCTATCAGGAGTGTGTTCAGGAGACAGAACAGAAGGTGAGGTAGTCAGCCCCGGTGCCACCTCATGCTACACAAGCGTTGGGTAAATCATTTAATGCAATTATATATTCTAAGCCCGCTGGATGGCACTCAGCAAAGAAGGAAGGGAAAGAAGGGCAGGGAATGGGAACCTTCTGGATTATTTCAAAGGTAACCACAGCACTGGGGCTGTCTGAAATTGCCTGTGATCAGCTTCAAAACAGGTCCGTGAGGGTTATCTTTAAGTTGATGCTCTCTGCTGGAGTGCAGCGGATCCAGAAAAGAGGTGTGTGTGGGGGGGGGGGGAGTCTGAGCTTATTAGAAACAGAGATCTCCCTGCTGCTCACTAGGGCCCCCCGCTTCCTAGCTGGAGTAAGCATCGGCAGGGAGAGGACGCGAAGCGCTGCGCCCTGAGTGCAGCCTCTGGTCAACCGCTTATCCCGCTGGGCACTGCAGGCACAGTTAAAGCCCAGGGTACACATAGCTTCCCCCCGCCCCCGAGCTCCTGCACCCACTCGGTCTCTGTGAAGCAAAGCCAGTGCTGGCTTAGAGCCAAGCTAGGGTCGCCGGAGGGGCTTGGCGCAGAGCGAAGTGACCAGCTTGGCTGCTTTCCCTAAGGGGCGGGAAAAAAAGCGCAGTCTTTGCTGGAGCCCACTCGAATTTCCCTAGGTACTCTCGAACATCACCGTGGGTGCCCACCCAGCGGAAAGCTCACCCAGGAAGAAAAGTGGAGAGGACCAGGGCGAGCCGGGATGTAGTGAAAACGAGTTATCCAGTCTGCAGCAATTGTGGAGGGGGTCCGGGGGCGGGGGGTGGGGGAGTGCCCGAAATACGAGCAGGTACTGACACTCAAGGGTAGGGACCCGGGTCAGAGCAACCTGTAGGATTGCTGCGGAGAGCAAACTTGGGTTGGAAGGCAGTGGTCCCCTGGAGCTCCTCCACCCGGCTCCCACCGAGTGGAGCTCAGCGCGCGCGGACAGAAGCAAGCACAACTTGGGAAGCCCACGCCGAAGGTGAGAGTCCCGCTCCTACTCCGTCCGCTCCCTTTCGCACCGCTGTCCACCCAGCACTTACCTCGGGCAGCCCCGGCCCCCGCTGCCCAGAAACAGAGTCCTAGCCACGGGAGCCACCGGCAACCCCCGCAGCCACCGCCTGCAGCCGCTGTCCCCATGCTCCGAGCCGCGCTCTGGAACCGCTCCTCTTCCACGCCCTGGGAGTCCGCGAGGCACCACGGCGGGGTCCAATCCTAGTAGGTTCTCCCGGGGACGGGGGTTGTCTGTGCCCAGTCTCTTTTCTCCACCGCCGCTCCTTATAGCAGGGGAGCGGGGATACCAGATGGGCAGCGGGACGGAGCGCGCGTACCCATCGCCTCCTGCGGCGCCGCTCGCCGTCCCTGCCGCGCGGCCCGCAGCCCCAGCTCCGCTCCTGGTCCGGGACTACCAAGCTGAGCCCCAAGACCGCATCGTTAATGAGCCCCGGGCCCGCCCCTGCTCCGCCCCTTGGAACGGCGACCAATGAGGTAGCCCGGGGCGGGGCGGAGGGCGGGACCGGGAGCGGGCGGCGCAGGTGAGCTCGCAGCCGCCGCACGTGCGGGCACCGCCTCCCCGCTGCAGAGGGCCCGCGCGTGCGGGAAGGCGGCGCGCCCGAGCCCAGCGGCCCGAGGCGAGGACGCGCGTCCGCAAGCTGTGCGGAGCAGCCCGGCCTCTTGGAGGCGAGCGCCCAGCGGCAGGATGTGGGCGTCTTGCTTGCTAACTCTGAGCCAGACAGACAGAGGCTTCCAGGAAAGCACCGTTTTGCACAACTTTGAGTCTCTGCGGCTTCTACTTTTTTTTTTTTTTTTCAGCAGTCGTAGAAAAAGAGAGAGAGAGACAGACGGATAAAACAAGAAAAATATCATCATAAGCCATTACTTTCTACTGTGCTAATTATGCCCAAATACGAAAATTAAAGAAGTGGGGAATGAATTGAGGGTCCCTGAGGATGTGTGGGATCAAAGTTTGGTTTTGTTTTTTCGTTTTGTTTTTAAGAAAGCAAAAGCTCTTCATTTTCCTTTTTCTGTTATGCTTGTCACTCTGGAATCTCCAAAGTTCTCAAAAGTTGCCTCACTGCTGGTCACTTATATTTTTGTTAATTTCAATCTAGGTCCTGGAAGCTGCCTTTGTAGTAAGTAAAAGGGAAGGCGGGGTGCTCAAACTCTTCAAAGAACAAAGCATTTGTTTAAGTCATTTCCCCTCTATCTTCTCTCCTCCCTTATTGGACTGTTAGATCTTTCTTTAACTGGTCTGCCAAGGGCTTAGCCATCCCTAATCCTGTCCTCTGTAGTCAGCTACTGGAGTCAGAAAAAAATCTCTTTCCGGAGACAGCTGGCTTCCTGTCTAAGGGTCCCACAGTCAAACCATGATTTTTTTTTTTTTCTCTGCGTTAAAATGCCCCCAGGACTCAGCTAGTGAAAAAATGGAGGTCCTTACTTCTTGGGTATTCTCAATGGAGAAGAAAAGCTTGGCTTGAAAGATACCACTGCCAGCTGGATCCTCAGTGACTACCAAGCTCAGTATTAACATACATGAACGCACACCACCACCACCACCACCAACAACAACAACAAACGAACTTATCTTGCCAAAGTGCTACCTGCTCTCAAACACCTCTCTATCGAGAACAAACAGTTTAAGGTAGGGCGATTGTTGCGGATGAAGTAATTGCACTAACTCACTTTCTCTTAAAGAAAAAGAGGATGATAGACAAAGATTGATTACCCAATCAGCACGTAGACCAGCCCTCTCTGAGGACACCAGGCTTGTGAATGTCAGAAGAAGCAGCAGAGATTTCCTACAGAGCTCTCCAATAACAGGTTTGGGTCCTGGTCAAGAAAACTAAGCTCTGGGAAACTGATACTTCAAAGCAAAGACTAATGTGGGGCTAGCAGGGCCTTGCCTGAAAATCACTTTCGGATCTTGGTAAATGAGGGGTTTGTCCTTTCCTTCTAAGAAGGTGAATTGAGAATTAATCTACCAAATATGCTTCACCTGTCTTCCAGAAACACTCATTCATTGTCTGCCTTTCTGAATGCCTGGCAGTCCTGTTACAAATGAGTATTTCTGTTATTCTGTTAGAAAAGAAATGAAAAAAGAAAGGAAAGGAAAGGAAAAAAGAAAAGAAAAGAAAGAGAGAAAAAGAAAGAGAGAAAGAAAGAAAGAAAGAAAGAAAGAAAGAAAGAAAGAAAGAAAGAGAAAAACTGTTATGTTTCTAAGATTCTATGACCATAGTTAATTCTCACTATTGTCCCCCCAGGGAGCAAATGTAAAATCAGTTTATTCTGGAAGTCTGAAGAATAGATAGGCTAATTTGACATTAATAATTCCAGCAGAAAACAATGAATGAAAGAGTAGAAAAACAAATTACCTTTAAACAAATCCTAGTCTCAAGGAACAGGCCTTCATACATGTTTTTAAAGAAGACGCTACAAGGCAGATATATTATCACTATTAGAAGGTAAAGACAGTGAACTTGACTTTTAGAAGTGAATTGCCCAAGGCCAATTTAAGAAAATGGCTTTGAAGCAAGAACAAGATCCATTTTGTGTAATTCTAAATTCACAGTGTAAGCACAGGCATGTCTGCTCAGTGAGGTTTATTTAATTATTGGTTGAACAGAAGTTGTACCTTCAGTGTTATCTGGAGTGTTTCACACCCTATATTGTACACTAGATATTAGTTATGCTGTACACATGAAGTTCCTGCATGAATCCAACTTCAGCTATTTTAAAAGATGGACAGCTGTTACATTTGTATAGATAAGCATAACTATTTCTACAAAACAGTTGAGTTTTTGTTGCTCAGGATTAGTTCCTCTGTCCAAGCAGCAACAGCACAGAATGTGAGAACTGGGCCTGATGAGATGAATCGTGGGTGATAGTAAATGCAACATGAGCTTGTCCACTTGAGCTTGACCAAGAAATCCAGCAGTGGAGGAAGAGCACCTGTTCTCAAAGATGTTCTCTGAAGTCTACAAGCATGCCTTAAACACTCTTTCACCTGTGTGCATGCACACACACACACACACAAACACACATGCACACACCATGCTTACATACACACACTAAGATGAGAGAGAGAGAGAGAGAGAGAGAGAGAGAGAGAGAAGAGGCAGAAAAAAAAAACTAGCCTGAGAATCTGAACACAGGGTACTCAGCCTCAGACTGTCAAGAGCTGGCTATCTGGCTTAGGGCAAAGCATGCCCGTCTGTCTTTTCTATTGCAAACTTGTGGAAATTGCCTAATTTTACAACCAACTGCATTTAAAAATCATCAATTTCTAACTCTGGCATACCATGGCTCTGAATATAAGTTACTCAACTGCATTGAAAATTATGTTGTATCTTCTGGAATTAGAATAATTGCTTAAAAAATACAATGTGCTCCAGAGAGATTATTTTGGATTATAGCTAAGCTGTAATATTAACTATAACCCAGTATGACTTAATAGGATCAAACTGCTGTAACAAAATACTGAACAGTGATTACCTTCTAAATAATAGAAATGTATTTCTCACAGCTATGAATGCTAGAAAACCCAAGATTAAAATGATAGTGAATTAAGTATCTACTGAGGACCCATTTCTTATGGGTCCTGTTACCTCTCACCATCTCAAAGTCTAAAAATGAAGGTAAGGCCTCTTGTATGAAAGCATTAATCCCATTCATGAGCACATCAACTTCAACACAATTGGAGGCAATACTTCAACTGAAGCTCCTTCTTACCTGGTGAAGTCTGTGTCAAGCTAACAAACCGTTCTCAGCACATTAGGAAGAGTTCTGTGTGTGTTTGGGAAAACATTACTTAAAAAAAAATCTACTTTGTATAAGTAGCAAACCTCTAAGGAAATAGTCTCCTGTGTAAGGGAACCTTTTTCTAAACGATGCAGAAAGAAGATGGAAGGTTTGCAGGGAAAGGATTGCCAAGGATGTGGCCTTCCTTCTTGAACTCTCAAGAAATTATTAAATTTATGGAGGAGACTTTATTCTTTAGGAAAGTGGGCATAGGGGTATATTTTTAATGTAGGTTACTGAAAAACAACATTAGTACGGAAAAAAATTACTTTTGACATGAAAACTCAATGAAGGTTGAAGGTTCAATTTCTTGGCTGCTTGGAACAGTAAGTTAGAGTCTCTAATGATTAGCATATGACTCATTTAAAACATAAACAGAAGCAAGATGCCAAAGCCAGTGAGACCAAGACCTTTGGGCACAGAACATGGAGACAGCTGAAATGAAGAAAGAGGCTAAAGACCACTGTAAGTTTTCCTGCAAGAAGAGCTGGAAATACTACGCAATGTATATCTGTGTTAAAATTTACCTAATCCAGAGGCTTAGTAGACAATTTGAGTTTTAATGGGCGTTAAAATTAATCTCTCCAAAGGTTTAAAATAAGGTACTTCTCTTAGGCATGGTCAAGTACCAGTTATCTTTCTACATTTCTGATACAATATTGCAGCTTCTTCACTCTTGGACCAGTCCACTGTTTCTGAAGACCCAACTAATATGTATTTCTCGTTCTGCAACTCCTGGATGTTTGTGATAAAAGCCATTGTCTCTAATAATCATACAATTATGCTAATAAATGTGGGGAGACTAAAAATCAAGCGGACGAAAGGGCAACAGCTGGCAACTTCAATTGGTGAACTTGGCAAAGCAATTAATTGAGATATTTTACACATTTCCTCCGGGAATGCTGCATGCCAGTCATTTCCCAGGACAGTCTTGTTCAGTCAGAGCAGCACATTTCAGAAATGTGTGCAATTTGCCCTGTGCATGCTACATGCTGTCGTTTATCCAGCACTGTGTGCTCTCAGCCTGCACCTGATTCATGAACATGCTGGAAAGCTGAGGAGAGAAACTGGAGTTAAAAGCTGTGATCAGTTCACATGGGATGTTCTGTCTGTGTACAATAATCCAGGTTAACAACCTTCCCTGTAAAAGGCAATATGGGGTCGTTTGTTAAGTAAACTCTCTCTCACACAGACAAAATTAGAGAAGTCTATTTTAGAGAGTGGGCTATGAAGCAGCAATAAAGTGCAAAAATCCAATACATTTGTTTAAAAAGGGCACCAGGGCACCAAGATAAGACTCCAACTAAACAGGTTTTTCCTGACACCGCACGTGTGCCTTCCTATTTGAACCCTGGAAATCCTTCCTGAGCACCAGCCTCCCAGAAATTCAGGTCCAGCAGCTGACGTGGACGAATGAAAAGAACTTAAAAACAGTAACAAGCACACAAGTCTCTGGCAGTAAAATTAATGTCTTAGTGCTTTCAAAATAATAAACTTTGATTAAAAAAGACAGTATGTGTTAGCTCATAACAGATGCAGCCTTTGAAGTCAAAGGAGCAGGCAACCTTCGAGCGATATGACTTTGGCCTTTTGTATCAG